CTGGCAGAGTTCCTGTTTACTTGTTTTATGATGGTTGTAACGAGGAACCCATTAAATTAATAGCCGTGCTTTATTTTTAATGTTATGTTTAGCTAATCCTGACTTACAGTGGCACTCCCCATTCACAGAAAATAAAAATCAAACTCACTACAACGATGGACTCCACCACCAAGAAAATGGGTACAGTGGGATGTTCAAGAGGTCACAGGAGGGGAAAAAAATAACATCCTTTTCATTCCTCCTGAGGGAGTGTCACTCATGTCCTCCACTGTTGGCCATTAGAGATATTAACTCAGACAGTTCAAGGACTAAATAACACAAAACCTCTGCCCCACTGGCAAGGAGGAGATGCCCATCCAGAGACTCCAGCAGAGCTGCTCATGCATAATACACATGCAGAAGGCACAGCTGGAATGTCTGGGTGACTCCAAACTGTTTTTTGGTCCTAAACACTGAAGGTAACTTCTTTTTTTTTTTTTTTTAATTCTGTAGAGCAGGCCGTAGAAAGTGTACAGGACTGAACTGCACACACCAGTTTGCCAAAAATGTTAGCACTAAATGGGAATGAAGACGATTCACCCTGCAGCTGTCATCCCAATATCAACTCAGTATTCAAAAAGAATTCTGAAACTAAGCTTTCAGGGATCCATAAGGAGGCGAACAGATTCTAACTCCTCAAAAAGATCCAAGTGAGCCAAAGGGCTTTGTTTCAACTCATGTCAATTAGCAAACCTGCTCCAAAGATACCAGAAATTATTTTTAAACACACTTTCTGAAAACAAAGGAGGGTGGAAAGTAGGAATTAAAATGAGATTCCAGGTCCCTGCTGCCTCTTCTCCTAAACTCCCTGGGACAGCAGGCCTGCCATGCAACAGCTCCCATACAGAACAACACAGGACAGCAGGAACCAGACAAGTGCTATCAACATCTTGGAGCAAATGGCACAAATGAAATGGCTGGATAAAGAACAAGCCATTCCAATGAGGGCAACCAGGGAGAGCATCTAATTTAGGCCATTCACAAAGGGAAATCAGCTACAGGAGGAGTCTGTTACATTGCCCTGAGGGAACAATTGATTTCAACTTGGAAAGAAAAGTTTGTGTGCTGCTCTCCCTAGGAAGACAGAGGAAAGTTTCCTGCCATGCTCTGACCTCTATAAAAAGTCTGAAAGAGCACACGTGTCATTAAATTCAAGACACACTTTTGACAAGGAGCTCTCCTGAGACCAGTGGCTGCTCCATTTGCTTCCTCTGGCTTTGCCCTAGGCTGCAAAACTACCACTCTGCCAGCAATTACACACCAGAGTGGGAGATGGAGGGGCAGCATTACCGACCTGAAGAGCCTCAGCTCAAAGGTGATACAGCCAAATCACTTCAGCCCACATCAGCCTTCACTCCCCCAAGGAATCGAGAACACAGAAAGTGAGGAGAATCCAACACACCCCAAGAGCAGAGTGATAGGGCTGACAAGGCAGGTGAGGCAGTTCAGGAACATCACATCCAGCTCTGGACAAGGATAAAACCCCCATGAAAGGGAGCAGGTGTGGGGTTACATGTCACAGGACACTGAACAGCCCTTCAGGCTCCCATGGCTTCCAAAAATGTGGTAACACTTCAGTGCTGGATGCAACAGCCCACTGGGGGGGGCACAGGACAAGAGAAGAAAAAGGTGGTCTGGAGACACATACAAGACTGGCACTGAAGCACCTGAGGGAGTCAGACAGAAACAATTCATCAACAAGTCACAGACAAACACTTTTAACCAGTTTGGAAATAAAAAATAACAACAACTTAAAAGACAAATTGAAAAATTCTGCTTGGAAAAGGAGCACACAGCATGAGATCACAGGACTCAGCAGACTATAAAATAGGAAATGAGACTTACTCTTCTCCCCCTACAGCTACACAAAACCCTCCTACATAGATTACAGACACACTTGGCAATTGCCTTCCTCCTCCAGCCTCTCCTGTTATGGACAAGGCAGAGAAGGTAGCTGCCTAAATGCAGAGAGGATATTAGATAAAGCATCTTGCAAAGCCAAGTGTGAAATATTAACAACAGGAGGCACCGGGTTGAGTTTTTATGCAAGATCACAAATTTGGTGCTTCGAGCACAGATGATGTTCTCGCACACTGGAATCTCAAAGTGCTGTTTGTTGAATGTTTCATTTACAAAGCTATTGAGGCCTACTGAAAAATTTTTATCACTTCTGTTATTTCCTGTATCTTCTCTAACTTCTCTGGTTTTGTTCTTTTCCCTTCCTGCAATGCTAAGAAATTATGCATGAATAAAAAGGTTGTTCTTTCCATTCATCTGGCAAGTTTTAAAACAATTCATACCCTTAAAGCAGGCACTCTGCAAGCTGTATTTTCACATGAAATTACCACAATTGTGCACACTGCATCCGAATCACCGGATGCATTTGTACGCAAAATTACCCAGTTTGCAGAGAACTGCAGTAACTAGGCAAGCAAAATGGACATGCACTGCTCAGCTGGAAGGAGCACTGTGCCCAAGCTGCACCTGGCCAAGGACAGGTTTCGTTTTAGTTGGTCACAGATATTTCTAGTCACAAAACAGCTGCTTTTTATCCAGCTCATGCAGCACAGACAACAGCGTGGCTGGCTGCCTCTACCCCACCTCGAAGTTACCTTTGGAGGAAACTGCCTCTAATTCAGCTTCCACAATAGATTCAGAACTTGTTTATCCTGCTGTCCTAGTTGTCCATTTAATGCCAGCTGTGGTGGTAGCGGTGTGGAAAGGACATCTATTCAACACTGGACACCAGGCTCCAGGAATAATGATCTCTGCCACTCTGGAGCATAACTGACACCTGCTGTCACAATCTTGCACAGAAAAAAAATTGCTCTGAATATCCAACAAGTAGTCAAGGAGAAACATAAGGAGAGGGAGCCTAGGAGAAGGTGCAGGGCTTCTTCCTTCTTTAGAAGGGCCTTGGTACTACAGGAGCAGAAAAGATGAGGGGGAAGAGAAAACAGTCTCTCAAGAAGCTGTGTTACCTGTACATTTTTTACTTGGATAGCAGCTGAGACTCTGCAACTGAACTTCATCTTCAGCAGTTTCCTATTGACATCCCTGGTGATCATATTTTCCTGCAGGCTCAGGTGTCTGAGCTGGTGATTAGGGCAACAGCAGCAACAAAACTGCTCCTGGCCACTAGGAAACACCAAAGGAAAGGGACTGCCTGAAAGGCAGATGGAACCACAGTCCCCATGGACATGATCACTAAGAAGTTTGTAGACATTCAGCATAGAGTAAGCTAAAATCAAACCCAACACAGCAGGACAGAGGAGTTTCTCACTTCAAGGCTGCACCACAAATGAATGTCTGTCCTCAGAAACTTTGGGAGACAGAGTCAGGCAAGCCAGTATTGAAGAGCAGTGACAGGTAAGAGGTGTATTTTCAACTAACAATCAAGCAGTCCCTCATCTGGAGGTACTGGATGGCCTTTGAGTGCCACTTTGTCCTTGCTGGGCTGCAAACAGCCGCAATGCACCTGGCCAGCATTAGCTGTAGCTGTTACATTTATGATTTTATGGCTGATTTTCCCCCCTACCCTCTATCAAGTTCACTGTCTGAATGATCACATCTGTTTATGTTCCACAGACACCTGCATATCTTGAGATGACAGCAACTCCCTGAATGCTGTAATCAGTTATTTCTCAACAGAGGAATTGCCAATTTGGTAAATAAAGCTCATTATAAAAGAACATGAAAATGTATTACAGTTGCCTAACAGAGAAAATTGCCCAGCGCCGCCAAATAATCAGCCCTGGCATCATAGTCCCCCCCCCAATTTAGGGCAGCTGAAATAATAACATGCAAATTACTCATGCCAAGGCAATGCTGGATAGGGGCAAGAGGAAAATGAGGAAGAGACAAAATACATACTTTTCTCTTCAGACCAACAATCATTTCAAACCTAGTCAGGGACAGACCTTGCTGCTCTAAATCTCTGCCTGCACAGTCAGATGTTCTGTGGCTATCCCAAGCAGATTCAAAAGTTGGCATGGCAGCAGCAGCAAAAACCCACCCAGTCCTGATCCAATAGATCTGAGGGCACTAATTGTCCTACTTTGTTTTGGAAAACTTGGTCTTCCTCCCTTGGGGACAGCAAGTTTGACCTACACAAAGATGCAGAGCTGGAATTTTTGCAAGATCTGAGACTAACAAAGATAAGCCATGCGTAAGCAAACATCACTCCTGAGAATGAAAAGTGTTGTGGCATCAGCTCTCAATAAGAAGGAAAGGCATTTTGTTGCTTTAATGAAGATGTAAAGCACTAAGTTGCTGTCTAAAGAAAAAAGAGACAAAGCAGAATATAACACAGAAAACAATTCTCAGCCCCCCTCATCTATTTTCATAAACACTGCATTAAACTCTGACACGACCTCCAAAAATCCATGTTCACATTCTTCAAAAACTGTCAGATACAGTCAGAGAGGACAGAGGAAACTAATGCTGCCAGACAGAGAAGCTCTAGCCAGAGAAAAGGAATTAGGTTACCAAACTGGACCTACTCCCCAGGTTTGCTGACAGGTCTTCTGCAATTCTGCCACACCTACCTCTAGGAGAATAAGATTCCAGATGCACCCAGCTTCCTCCATTCCTCAGGCAGCAAGGAGAGGGCTCAACATAGAGCACAAAGATGAAAGGGATGGTGCTTTATGGCAGACACAGCAGGAACTGCACACAAGAGCTCATGAAAAGAAAGATAACTTGGGCTCTGCAGCCAGCAGGCAAAGGTTTTTCCAGTATGATTCCCCACCACCAGTTCCCTTCAGCCAGGACTTTGCAACCAAGTACTTTCAAATAAGCCAGTCACCCTGGGACCAAAATGAACAAGTTTTGTGATTTATAAACTGCGCCTTGAAATACTGCTTTCCTCACACTCATTTGGAGTTTTTGTTGGCATCGGCAATAGGCAGAAAACAGCAGTTTACAAACTCATGGGACTGAAAGTATCTCACAGCACACAGTCACCATTAAATACTTTATTGTTTAGGAGGGAACCTTGGAAGGGAAGGAATATGCCTGCTGGTGTAACCAATGGCAGCATGCTAGGAACAGTTAATCCTAACAAGCTACTCAGGGTTACTTCCAAATACTTTTCTCCAGAGCAAACAAACAGAAGCAACAGCTCTTGAAACTCATATGTAGGTTGGTGAAACCAAAGTTAGAACTGCATGAACCAGGCTTATGTTGGGGCAAAACCCCAAGCTACAAGCTGTGCTGGAAGCACCTGGGGTCAACACAATTCTTTACATTGCAAAACAATGAAAAGAAACTATAGCATCCCCTGCTCCTGGGACCCTTCTCCCAACTCCAGGAACGTTCACCGAGACTGATACATGCAGGCAGTTAGAAGAGGAATCATGTTGTATTGTCTTGGTCAGGGAGGGCAGAAGGCACTGGTTTTGGTCAGTGTCTGTCCAGAAGGATGCTCGGGCTTCCAGGGCGTCTGTGGTCCCTGTCCTCTGCTCTTTGGCGGATGATGCTTATCCAGAATTAACTAACAGCTCCTGGAGAAAAAAGGAGACAAAAGAAAAAGGCAGCAAGCTAGTTATGCAGCTGTTGACATGAGAGTGTTGCCATCAGAAATGAAAGAGTAGCATTGGCAGGGCAAAAATCCCACAGAAAAATCAACAGGTTTCACCAACTGTAAAACACGAGATATTCAAGGGTAGAGGACTGTGGGAGCAAGAAACCAGTTCATGATACCAAAGGTAAGGCTGATTCTGTGATCAAGTACATAGAGTCAGTTGCAATGATCAGGATTGTAAATCCATTGGCCTGCAGTGGGAGATAGCTGTGGCTCCAGGTAAGCCTTGCAGCAGTGAGGTCACAAGAATAAGTGCAGCCCCACACTAAGTCCTGCCTCAGCAGGACACAGGAGCATTTTGATTAGCTGCCATCAAACACATGCACACACAGACACACACACACACTCCCCTCACTCTCTCATCCTGGAACAGGATCAATATAAGAGCACCAGAGAAGTGAAGAATAAAGATGGGGACCCAGAGAGCACCCTAACTCCTGACACATCTGACAACCCTTATCCTATTAAGGCCCAAGCCCTCAAAAATTCAAAGCAAAATCACATCTGCTTTGTCCCCATAGAATTTTACTAAATGGTACCTTCTCAGATCCTGCAGGTATCTGCATATGAGCGGTGAACTCCTGAGGGTTATTATAAGACAGAAAGCTTCCAACATTTTTAGGATGGAGATTGCAAAGTCTGCTGTGGTCTCTTCCTATTTTTATCTTATCACATCTATAAAGTCAAAGAAATCAAACCAACAATACCATAAGCAGTGGATAAGAACACACATGACACCAGCTCTAACATCTGTCCCTCTGAGGAGCTTAGAAATCAGTGCTGGATCTCACTTCACAACATGGGCAATCAGCTCTCCTGCAGCAGCAATGGCATCATTCTGTCAGTGCTGCAGGAACAGCAGAATCACAAAGGGTAAGCCATCAACAGGCTACTTTTTTCTCATGCTCTGGATACCTGCAGGTCCCTTCTGCAGAGCAGATAGTATTGATCCAAGACCTAAAGCCAACTGGAGAAAGACAACTGAACACTTCACTGCATACAGTCTCATTGCCCATTTTTATTAGGGCTGTATTTCAGCTACTCTCCAGATATTTGCCTTTCTGAGGAGAGGAGCTGTGCTTTCTTCAGTGTGAATCAGAATGGAAAACATCACAAAATAATGATGCTAGCACACTTGGCACTGTTTGTCAGAAGGTGAAGATGTCATTTAGGCTGCTTCTGCACAGCAGGCTGATATTGGCTGATACATGGTCAATGTAGACTGAATATGCTGGCCTTGAATCTCCAAGGACAGCCCCATCTCTGACAACAATGAAATGGTAAAGCTTCAAAAGACTCAAGAATAAAGAGAAAATTGTTCACCAAATTATTTAGACAAAGGTTATGCAGAAATCTGACAAATGAACCATCAATAATACTCCACTGACTCTAATTTCCCAGGTAATTTTTCTCATCATTAGTGACTTAAAAGTTATGCACAGAGCAATATATTTTAAAAACTTCAATAGCACTCACTGAAATTGCAATGAATGAAGCAGTAACAACTCATGATCAATTTTGCAATGAAGTAATTTGCTGTATTCACATTGTAACACTTCAGTAAAGTGTCCAGGAATGCTACATTTTGTGAAAAAAAACCAAACAACAAAATCACTTTTGTGGCTACTCTGCGGTTAACCCTTCTGAAGACGGTAAAACTTCTGTTTTTAAAACACTTTTGAAGAATATCACGGTTACGTAATTGCATGTTCAACATCATAACTACATATTTCAACCTCATCTAGTTGTAGGTGTCTCTACCTATGGCAAGGGAGCTGGAAGTAGATAATCTTTAAGGTCCCTTCCAGATGAAACCGTTATATGATTCTATGACATTTTTACTCATTTTAGGAGAAAATGAAAACAGATAGCTCTTAACCTCAATGAATTCTTTCCAGCCTAACCTACCCACATACCAGGTATGCAATGAGCTGGAGGCTCATAAACATTCCTTGTGCAAAAACATCAGGTTCCATCTCACTCTGGATGACTAAACCTCCTCAAAATCTTTTGCACAGTAAGCCTGGACCCAGAATGGATGGGCTGAGGGACACCATATTTCTGAGACTAAACTCACTCTATGCCCACATTTTAATTCCACCTAGCACTGCAACCATGTCAATGCAGACTCGGCACCCCTCCATTTTCTTCCAACCTGGAATCCTCTCTGCAAGATGCTACCAGGTTGTTACAGCACTTACCTTGAGCAGAAGGAGCCAGTAAAGGGAAGGAGAAGCTTTACCTCTTCTCCCTGCCCTTATCATTGCATATGCACCAGACAAGGTGGATATGCAACAAGTCCAGGCAGTTGGCAATCACTGTTCTCACATGACAGGATACTCCCGATTAATGGAGTTGAGGCTCAGACTGAAAGATTTTGGTGCCTCCTCATAAAATGACTGCCCCACAGTTGGCATTAGCTGGTCTCTGCTGCAGTCTTAGCAGAACAAGAAGTCAAGAGATGAGTAGCCTTGGAGAGTGCACCACACTCACAGTCTGACAGGAGGGAACAGTGCCCTTCTTGCATAGGCAGGGCAGGTTATTTTTAATAACACTGCCAATGCAATCAAAGTAGAGACCAAGTTCCAGTCTTGATGAGCTCCAGCCCAGTGCCTCTACATATAAAAATAGTATCCATACAAAGGCAAATTCCTCATCAGCACAAACAGGAATGGCAGTCTGTTCACTCCTGACAGCAAGTCCAGCTGGAGGGCATACAGCACTTGTTTTCTTCCATGCCTCTCACAGCAAATGGGACCTTTGAGCCACTAACTCATGTTCTTCCACCACTGTGGCACCCTGCTCAGGAGCTAACTGCAGTCAAAATGGGCTGCTCAGCTGACACAGCCTGCCACTTTGCAGCCTCCGTGGAAAAGCCAGTAGCTTTCCACTTCTGGTCCCAGTTGAGTGAGGAGAAAGGGCTGAGCTCTCTAAGTAGAAAGTAGATCTGCTCCACAAATCTCACCCCTGCTGAGAAGGGAGTCCAGTCAATGCCCAGCACAGTCCTTGTCCTCTAACGGAGCTGAGGCCTTGGTACCCAGCACCGGGGCGAGCAAGTTTCAGCAGGATTTTCTAATTTTCTAATGCACCTGGTTCTTCTGTCCTTTTCCTTCCTTCTCCGTTTGCATCCCAGTGCAGAAGCCCGGGGCTGCCTGGTGAATCTGCAGCATTCTCTCCACCTCCCCCAGTCACTGGCCAGCTCTGTGCCTCGGCTCTTGGCCTTGCTGGAGGCTCTCAGCCAGCAGAGGAATCTCCCTCCTTGAAAAGCCAGACCCTGAAGAACTTCCTCCCTCAGCGTTTGCCAGAGACACTGTTTGCCAAGCCTCAGCTGTGTTAAGACATATTTATTTAAGCAGCCGTTAGTCTCACAGGGTAAACCCTGCAAGTTTCCTCCACCACGTGCCTTGCCTTTGTTTTAACATCCCTTTGAGCAGTCGCACCACAGCGCTCACACATATGGGCACTGTGTAGCTATGAAGAAATCAGAAAGCAGATCCCCATGATAAATGACTTGGTGCATTTGGAGTGTCAGTGACAAAGTAGAAATTAATCTCCATAGTTCCTAGTTCCCTGCTGTGTGCAGGCAGCTCGAAACATCAGAATACCTGTTGGCACACAGCAGACCTCAGCAACGTGACCACACAACTTTTTCATCTCAGTTAGTGTGGAAAGAGGCACAAACAAAACACAAAAATCCTGACCTGCCCTAAGATGGGTGTTCAAGGCCTTTACACTGGATGAGGCATTTGTTGCAGGGCTATTAGCACCCCAAAGCGCTGCAAGGGACATTTGAGTCACTTTGGTTTGATGTATGCTGTAGGTATTTTTTGGTTATGTGCAATTTGTTCTGTTACACTCAGAGTATTGGCTATTTTGTGGAGCAGCTGTGCTGACTAATGGATCACAGCACTTCTGTGCCATATAGTTATTGCACAGAAAAGCTTCTCTGTCTCTCTCATCCTTCAGGAGTCCAACAGTTGCTGTCCTTGGGACTGGAATAAGGAGGGCCAGGAGTATGCCTGGCAGCAACAAAAAACATTAATTCAAAAAGCTATGAAGAGAGTTTTGTTTTCCCTCTTCTCTGTACTGGTGTTAATAGTTTTGCAAAGCAGGGAAGTTCACCCAATGACTTCTTGGCTACTTCCCCAGATGGTGTCTTCAAAGTTGGCTTGACAGCAGAAAGAACCCTTTTCAAAAGACTCACCAGATGCATTGTCAGAACACCCCGGAAAGTGCTTTCACATGGAAGTCTCCTGGTCTACATACCCCACCAACAGAGTGCTAGGAACAGAAAGAGTCTTTATGGTTTCCTCCTCCCTCTCCTTCGGCTCACAAGAGCCTACACACTGCTTGCTTTGCTCTGCCTTGACACCTCCCCATTGCTCTGCATCACCCGAATACAAAGTTATTTACCAGCACAACTAATCTCCAGCTGTTTTGAGACTCACCTGTTTGTTCATGCATTATAACATTGATTTCCTCCAGACAATTGTTCTGATCATTGTTCTAACTCGCAGAGAGCTCCCGTCATTAGCCTTGCTTAACAGGAAATATTTTGCCACTGACTGAGCAGCTCTGCAGTCAGCAGACTGCACAAAAAATCATCCTGGTTGGGGGGCTGCATCTCCCTGCTGAGCTGGTAACCCCAGACGTCGCAGTAGGGAACAGGCTCAGTGCTTTTGATTTTGGACATGTGCTAGAAAAAAGCAGGGCTAGGAGGAACAAACACAGCTCTGCAAAGGGCTGCTGCTGAAAGGATGACTGTTAATTAATCCACATACAAACCGAGGGCAGTTTTTGCTCAATCGATGTTAATTGCATTTAATCTCATCCTTGCCATTAAGAAAAGCCACCGGGCCAGGCTGATGTCGCTAGCGCCTGACATGTAGATTCCACCCACGTTTGGAAGGCAAGGCAGGA